AGGCAAAAACCAGCATGGACATGGGATAGGGTAGGAATGTGATGGGACAAGGCCGGCATGGGACGAGGCGAGCATGGGATGGGCAGGATGAGTGTGGGACACGGGGCTGACACCCAGCACCCCCTGCCCCCCTCCCGGTACCCACCTGGCGGGCGGATGGGGCGGCGTCCCGGACCTGCTGCGCCAGCCTGGCCAGCGTGCTGACCAACAGGCACTGCCGGTCAAACTCCTCCCGCAGCCCCTTCCCGCAGCAGCACAGCAGCGCTGCCAGCAGGTACTGGTACCGGATGCTGAACTGCGAGTCCTTGAGGCCGTCCTTCAGCAGCCTGCTGGGGACACACGGGGTCAGAGCAGCCTCAGGGTGCCCCTCAGCTTGGGGACACGTGGGGTCAGGCGAGGGTCAGGGTACCCCCAGTTTGGGGACACACAGGGTCAGGGGAGGGTCAGGGTGCCCCCACCACTCCCAGAGCCCCCCAAACCCACCAGAAGAAGTAGTGGGTGATCTTCAGGTCACAAATGGCTCTCTTCATGAGGAAGCGCACCAGGGGGCTGTCCAGGTAGCACTCGTACTTCAGGGCCTGCGCAGGGGACAGCGTCATGGGAGCACGGTGGCACTGGCGGGCACCCCGTGGCACATCCCGGTGCCACCACCCACCTGGACCAGCTGGGGCAGGTAATCCAGCAGCTCCGTGTCCGAGATGGAGTCAATCCACTGCACGGCCGTCCTCCTCACCTCCTGGTCCGGGAACCTGCAGCCAGGACATGTTCCGTGGGGGTGACGGCATCCTTCGGCCAGCGCCACGCCGGCCGGCGCGTTCCCACAGCCCACAGGTGGCTTACGTGGCGTGCAGCAGCCCCAGGGCGTCCTGGTGGCTCATGGAGGTCCAGTGGCTGAGCAGGGCGTAGATGTCGGGCAGGCAGCCCCAGTCCCAGCTGGGGGCACTGGCCAGCAGCATGGGCAGGGCGCCGGGGGACGCGTGGCAGTGGCAGCGCTTCTCCCACAGCCGCTGCCGGTCCGCGTCCGTCAGCCTGCGAGGACACGGGGACAGGGTCAGGGAGGGTGAGGAGGTGGCACCCCTGTGACCCCAAAACACATGGAAGGTTTGGAGGTGGTGTCCCTGTGACCCCAAAACATGTGGAAGGTTTGGAGGTGGTGTCCCTGTGATGGAAGGTTTGGAGGTGGTGTCCCTGTGACCCCAAAACACATGGAAGGTTTGGAGGTGGCATCCCTGTGACCCCAAAACATATGGAAGTTTTGGAGGTGGCACCCCTGTGACCCCAAAACACGTGGAAGGTTTGGGAGGTGGCATCCCTGTGACCCCACTGTGCATGGATTTAAATGGGGCTGGCAGAACTGGGAGGTGGCATTCCCATGTCCCCAAAACACATGGATGGGATGGGGCTGGAAGGTCGGGGAGGTGACATTCCTGTGCCCCACTGTGCATGGATTTAAATGGGGCTGGCACGATGTGGAGGTGGCATCCCTGTGCCCTCATCACACAGAACGGGGACAGAACAGGGCTGGCAGGATTGGCTGTGTGTCCCCTCTGCCCCCACCGTTTATTGGAACCCCAATAAACCCCCGAGCCCTCCCTGCATCCCCTACCCCTGGAGTGGAGGGGCTGATGGACAGCAGGACCCTGCTGGGGGACAGCCAGCACCCCAGGTCCCGTGCCCCAGGGGGACTGAGCTGTCCCCCTGCCCAGGGACCCCCGATCCAGCCCCGCTGGCCGAGCACCCCCCGAGCTTTGGGCAGCTGCTGACACCTGATCCCCCCGGACAGCTCGGGCTGGCCGAGGGACCGCTCAGCTGTCCCCAAGGAGAGGGACAGCAGGGAGGGCCGAGCATGGGAGAGCCACCCACCTCCGGAAAACTCCAGCTCCAGCCCCAGAGGAAGGATCCACCCCTCAGATGTGCCAGGGCAGCGCTGTGGGGGCGTCATCTGTGTCCCCCCAGCAGGGCAGTGCCATAAATACCGGTTTATTTACCAATAAAGTGATTTTTTCTGCATGGCCTCCCGTAGCTGGCGCTGGTCCTCCTCCCCCAGGCTGCCGAACTCGTACCTGGGGCTGAACTCGGCCGCGGGCGGGTTGGTGAACTTCACCTCGAAGGCTGAGGTGGGGAAGTCGATCTGGGGCAGAGGCAGAGGGTGAGGGGACCCCCAGGTGGAGATTTGGAGGGGGATTTGTGTCCCTGGAACGCCAGGACGTACCTGCAGGATGACACTGTCGGGCTGGTTGAAGTTTGGGGCGCTCGACCTGGCCCTGGAGTTGTCCTGAGTCGCCGGCCACAAGCCCAGGAGCTTCCGCCCGCAGGTCAGGACCCTGGGAGGGGACAAAGAGTGGCACTGGGGGGGCACTCGGGGCTGGGGCACTCGGGTGGCACCACTGCTGGTGCTGAGCTGAGGCACTGGGCACCCCGAGGTTTTGGGGACCCCACGGCACTGGGGACCCTCCTGTGCCCCCCACGTACTGCCTGAAGTTGAAGAGGGGGGTGGTGACCCAGCCCAGGGCCTCGGGGACCCGCCGCTGCTTGTTGGCGTCGGAGGAGCCGCCCGGGGGTGGCACGGGCACGGCGAAGAGGGTGACACTGAGCAGGGTCTCCCGGGGCAGCCGGTTCACCTGGACCGGGAAGCAGATCCTGCAGCAGAGAGGATGGGAATGGGCTCGGGATGCCAGGAATGGGCTCAGGGCTCCAGGGATGGGCTCAGGGCTCCAGGGATGGGCTCAGGGCTCCAGGGATGGGCTCAGGGCTCCAGGGATGGGCTCAGGGTTCCAGGGATGGGCTCAGGGCTCCAGGAATGGGCTCAGGGTGCCGGGGACGGGCGCTCCCAATCTCCTTGGCATGCCCCAGGAGAGCCTGGCCCTACAGACGCCTTTGCTGCTGGCACCGCGGTGTCCCTGGAAGTCCCTGGAAGTCTCTGGAAGTCCCTGGAAGTCCCAGCCACCCCGCAGGTTTGGGGACAGCCAGCTGGTGCTGTCCCAGCCCCGGCTGCGCTCTCCGTGCCGCGAAGGTGACCGCAGGGACAGGGCCCTCCACGCAGAGCCCC